ACATACTCTCAAGAGAGGGGCTGGATCTCTAGCTTTGGAGTGAGCAGACCAGACTTTGCTAGTGAATTATGGTATGTGTCTGTTCTGATCTGTCTGGTGGTTCCTTAAAGAAATATAGCAGAGCATCCCCCTTGACTTTGGCCTGCTACAGCTCACGTGGAGCAAGGTGGAGTGGTGTATAACACCTGAAGGCTGTGACTGTCCTTTCATTCTAGGAATAAATAGTATGACTGAAACACAAAATTAATGCTTAAAGGCTAAAGGAGATGCTGGAGTAAGAGTTTCTTTCTGAAATTGATGTTGTTGTTGTTATGTGCCGTCAAGTCGGACCTGATTCGTAGCGACCCCTCCTTGGGTTTCCAAGGCATTATCACTACGGAAGTAGATTGCCCCATCTTCCTTCCGAGGAGGGGCTGGTGGGTTTGAACCGTCAGCCTTCTGGTTAGCAGTCAAGTGCCTTAGCCATTATGCTACCAGAGCATTCTGAAATTAGAGATTTCAAAAGCACCATATATACAGGGGAATTATGAAAACTACACACATGCTCAGGGCAACATACATGTGCTGAAAATACCTAAGAATCTCTAGTCTCAACCTTGGGTTAACCCTTAAGGGTGCTGAAAGCAAGTGGTTGAAGAAGGGCAGCAGTTCACAGCCTAGTTACAAACACTAGAAGTAGTGTTTGTTCTTCCCCCTCTAGTACAAGACAATCTCTTTTATAACACTAGAAAAGCATGGGCTGGAGAACAGAAGGCTTAGATCTCTACATACATCCAGGAAGGCAGTAGTTGCAAAAATAGCTAGGGGAGGTTGCTGAGCAGACGAACTACTGTAACCTTCAATAAAAAATAAATAAATAAATAAATAAAACCCAAAAGGGAAAGAATGAGTTACTGGGCTAAAACATTTTAATCAATCAAATGTTTTGGTGTTAACAACAGCAGCAGCAGCAAGAATAAAAATCAGAAAGCATACAAATAAACAGAAAAGGATAGCCCATTCAAAATAACAAAATAATGTGGGAAAAATCATCCTTACGGAAATGTAGATTATGAACAAATAAGACTTTAATACAACAATATCAAATATGCTCAAAACACTAAAGGAAAACACAAAGAACTATAGAAAATGATACAAAACAAAATAGGAATATCAATAAATGAACAGAAACTACAAAAAAGGAACTAAACAACTGAATTACTGAAGCTGAAAAAAACAATAATCAAAATAAAAAATTCACTGGAGAGATTTCATAGCAGATCTTATCTGGCAGAATAATCAGTAAACTAGAAGGTAAGATAATTGAAATCATCCATGTTGAGGAGGAAAAGGTAAAAAAGAATGGTGAAAAGTAAACAGACCTTAAAGGAGTCGTGGGACATCATTATACAAATTAACGTATGTATCATGAGAATTCCAGAAGGAAAATAAAAAGATAAAAAGAACACTGGAAGAATGGCTGAAAACTTCTTAAATCAGATGAGGGACAGGAATCCACACATCCAAAAAGCTCAATAAATTCCAAGTACCGAAAACTCAAAAGAAATCCACATGGAGATACATTATTATTAAACTCCTGAAAACTAAATATAAAGAGAGAATCCTGACAGCAGCAAGACAGAAGCAAACTGTCACATACAAAGGATCTTCAATAAGATTAAATACCAATTTCTCCTCAGAAAGGCTACAGGCCAGAAGGCCAATATATTTAAGGTGTTGGAAGAACAGAATTATCAACCAAGAATTCAGTATTCATTAAAATTTTTGTCAAGAATATGGGCAAAATTAAAACATTCCCAGATAGCAAAAGCTAAGGGAGATAAGAGAGTTCATTACAACTAGACCTGCTCTACAAGAAATGTTTCAATACTTCTGACTGAACTGAAAGGTCCCTAGACGGTCATTGGAAGTTGTACACAGAAAAAAGTATCTGTGATAAAGTTAATTTCATGGTCAAATTTAACACTTAGTTTTGTGATATTTTTGGTTTGTAATTGTAGTAATTATGCCCTACATTATTAAAACTGACAAATACATAAAAAATAATTATCAGTCTGCACTTGTTATTGGGAGTATAACGTAGAAAGATGTAACTTGTGACAACAACTAAGTATGAAGAGAGAATGATATAGGAATAACATTTCTATATGTTATTAAAGTTAAGTTGGTATCAATTTAAACTACATTGTTATAAGTTTATAAAGTGTTACCAATTTAACATCAATAATACACAGAAACTTCATGAAATGCTGTAATAACTGTTGTTGTTGTTATGTGCCGTTGAGTCAGACCAGACTCATAGCAACCCTTCCTTGGGTTTCCAAGGCAGTATCACTACGTAAGCAGATTGCCCCATCTTTCTTCTGAGGAGTGGCTGGTGGGTTTGAACCGCCAGCCTTCTGGTTAACAGTCAAGTGCCTTAGGCACTATGCTACCAGAGCTCCCGTTGGTTGTTATAAATTTGAGAAACCCTGGTGATACAATGGGTAAAGCACTAGGCTGCTAACCAGAACGTCAGTAGTTCTGACTCACCAGCCACTCAGTGGGAGAAAGATGCATCAATCCGCTTTGTAAAGATTTATAGTCTTGGAAACACTATGGGGCAGTTCTATTCCATTCTGTAGGGTTGCTATGAGTCAGAATTAACTCATGACAGTGGGTTTGATTTTTTTTTTTTTTTGCTATAAATTTCGGATAGTAAATGTAATCTCTATTGTAAATACAAAGAAAATATCTTAAAAATACATAGACAAAAGAAAAGGAGAAGGGAATAAAAATGGTTCTCTACAAAAAATCAATTAAACATAAAAGGCGGCAGGAGTTGAGGAACAAAAATGGCATGCAACACACAAAAAACTAATAGCAACAAGGCAGAAGTAACACTTTTCTTATTGATAATTACTTTAAATGTAAATTGATTAAACTCTTTCAGAAGGCAGAGATCACCAGAATGGATTAAAAAAATATGATTCATCTACACACAGTCTACAAGAAACACACCTTATATCCAATGATACAAATAGACTGAAAGTGGAAGGATAGAAAAAAATACTTCATTCAACAGAGAGCCAGGCTAGCTGTATGAATACCAGACAAAATAATTTTACGTCAAAAATCCTCTGACTCATAGTGACCCATACTGGGTTTCTGAGGCTGTGAATCTTTAAGGAAGTAGACTGCCTGATTTTCCTTCTGCAGAGTAGCTGGTGGGTCTAAATTGCTCATCTTCTGGTTAGCAGCCACTACTACCCTATCCATTATGCCACGAGAACTCCTTACAAGAAGAACAGAAGTTGTTATGTAATGACAAGAGTCAATCTATCAAGATATTTCAGTTACACACACACATACACATGCACCTACCTAACAGAACTTTCAAATATATGTAGCAAGCATTGATAGAAATGAAGGGAGTAGTAGACAGCTCTGTAACAATTGTTGGAGACACTTCATTATAATATTTCCAATACTGGAGAGAACACCTAGAGAGAAGTTCAGTAAGTAAGTAGAACTCTACAAACCAACTTACATGTGTTAAACCTCTTTAAAGTGTTAAAAAGCAAAGATGTCATTTGCTGACTAAGGTATGATTGACCCAAGCTATGTGTCATGGATTGAATTGTGTCTCCCCAAAATATGTGTCAGTTTTCCTGGGCCATGACTCAGTGGTTTGGCAATTATATAATAATAGATAATGTAATTATGCAATAATCATCCTCATGACACACACTGATATGCTCAGATAATCAGTTTTAAGGGGATTAGGTTAGACGGAATACAATATCCTTACTCAGGTCACAGTCCTGATCTGATATAAGGTGAGATTTCCTGGATTGTAGCCTGCATCACTATTTTAACTTACAAGAGATAAAAGGAGAGAGAAGCAAGCAGAAAAAGAGGGACCTGACTACCACCAAGAATGAAGAGCTGAGAGTGAAGTATGTCCTTCGGTCCCAGGGTCTCTGTGCTGAGAACTTACTAGACTCAGGGAAAGGCTATTGCCAAGACACATGGAAATCTCCAAGGGACACCAGGCCTACAGATACTGAAGAAGACAGGGACCTTCCCTCAGAGCTGACAGAGAGAGAAAGCTCTCCTCTAGAGCTGGCACTCTAAATTTAGACTTCTGGCCTCTTAAACTGTGAGAAAATAAATCTGCTTGTTAAAACCATCTACTTGTGGTGTTTTTGTTGTAGCAGTACAAGATAACCAACCAAGATACCATGATGTTTTCAAGTGCCTCATATGTATGTGAAAGCTAGACAATGAATAAGGAAGGCTAAAGAAGAACTGATTCATTTGAATTATAGTGCTGGTAGAAAATAACAAATATACCATGGACTGCCAGAAGAATGAACACATGTCTTGAATCAAGTACAACCACAATACTCCTCAGAAGTGAGGATTTCAAGATCTCATACACTATGGACATGTTATCAGGAGGCACCAATTCCTGAAGAAGGACATCATACTTGGTAAATAGAGGGTCAGTGAAAAAGTGGAAGACCTTCAATGACATGGACTGACACAGTGGCTGTAACTATGGGCTCAAATACAGCAATGATTGTGAGGATGGTGCACACCCAGAAAACATTTTGTTCTGTTGTACAAAGGGTGGCTATGAGCTGGAACCACCTAGACGGCACCTAACAACAACATAAACCACCTAGACTTAACATACACAGAATACTTCATCCAACAATAGCAAAATACACATTCTTCTCTAGTACACATGGATAAATTACCCAGGAAAGACCATATGCTAGGTCACAACAGTTTCAATAAGCTTAAAGAGGCTGAAATCATATAAAATATCTTCTCTAATCACAATGGAATGAAACTATGAACCAGTAACAGACAGAAAACTGGAAATTTCACAAATATGTGGAAATCAATCAACAAATGTGTCAAAGTATGAGCCAAAGAAGAATCAAATGGGAAGTTAGAAAATACTTAGAGATAAATGAAAGATATGCTATTCATTTTTCTATCGTACTTACATCTCTGTGCCCACTACTAGCAGAATCATGGAGTGGTGTATCATCATCTAATCCTTGCGTGTTAACATCTGCTCCAGCTGCTATAAGTATCTTAGCAACATCATAATATCCAACATTGCAAGCTTCATGCAGTGGTGTCCAACCTACAGTGAGAATATTAATTTAAATATGTTTAATTACACTAATTGAAGATACATGCTTTTCATATGCATAGTCTTATGTGGCATATCAATGCTAAAATCACGTTACGAAAGGAAAAAGGAGTAAAGAAAAAAACTACTAAAATTGAATTGTTAAAAACAGCAGCAATTTTATAGAAGGTTCATTCAAGAAGTATTATTTCCACTGGCACTAAGAGCTAAACATTTAAACCTACCCAATAAATATACACTCTAATATACAGTAATCATCTGAACCACAGAAAAAGAATAGAAAAAGGAAGCAAATATCAACAAGGGTGATCAATCAAAGTCTTTCAGTAAATAAAAACTCTTAGGACTCAAGGGATTTAATTTGCTCAGCTAACAATTTTTCTGAACTTAATACTTAACAAAATTTATTGTTTTAATTTATATTGTAATAAAAGTTGCATACTCACTAAAGAAAAATGTGAAAACATAAAAAATACTAGTAAGAAAATACAAATCCCATAATCCCACCAACCAGACATAGTAATTTTATATTCTTAAAATATCCATTCTGGGATGGTGTGGTAGTTCAGTTTGTGTGTCAACTTGGCTGGGTTGGGTCTGACTTGACAGCACATAACAATAACAACAACGATACGTATTGACAGAAATATCTGTAAGACATTTTTGATATTGTTGTTACGTGCCATGGAGTTGGACCCGACTTACAGCGACCCGCTCCTTGGGCTTCCAAGGCAGTATCACTACAGAAGTAGATTGCCTCATCTTCCTTCCGAAGAGTGGCTGGTGGGTTTGAACCTCCAGCTTTCTGGTTAGCAGTCAAGTGCCTTAGGGACTATGCTACCAGAGCTCCTTGTAAGACATTAGGTTTTTTTTTTTTTTTAAATAAAAGCAGGTCGCAGCACTATGGAGTGATAGATATGAATGAAATAATCTCATTACTGTTTAAAACTAAGAAACAAGCCTATACATAAATGTTCATTTTATATATATGATAATGAAAACAAACAGGATAACTTGTAAATTTTTCAACAATAACTTGTGGCAGTAAAAGAGATTAGAAGGTAGGGGGTAGCATGGAATGTGAAATTAAGGGAGAGAGGGGACTAAAAGCTAGGAAGCCAGACAGAGGTACAGTCAGCCACAGGGACCCAGGTGGGGGTGATACGAGAGGTCTCCAACAGCAAGACAAACTTGTCTGTCGGTATGTCCTACTGTGGTGACATGTAGACTTGAGTTTTGAGGCTGAGCCTCTGGTGTTTAAAACCCAGCGAGATGC